GTGTCGAATTTGTTTGGGAAGATGTGGAAGAAAAAAAACTATATCTTATCTTTCTTGACCGAAACGTAAGTGAAAATATTTATATTTTAGTTTTGTTTTCATTAAATTTCTTTTTATAATAATATACTAATAAATATAATATTATATATTTTATACATTAGAGAGACAAAATGACAGCAATTATTTCATGTGGTTTACTGAATTTCTACAAACAAAGAAATTTGTTGGGAGGTGTTTTTTCTTTGGAATATTTTCAAATTGATGGGATTTGCCATGAGTACCCAAGGTATGAAAAATATAGTTTGGTTCGTGGCGAATGGATCATCATCATCAGTAAAAACACCAARTTAATCCCGCTGACGGGTGATATTGAGAGAAGGTTTGTGTTATATCCATCGGTGCCTTCGATAAAAACTCTTGTTGAAGATGGGAGTACAAGAAAGATGATAATTGGTAGATAAAATCTTCTATTAAACTTAAATAAATATATTTCTCATATCAAATCAATATTTAAATTTTAGATTTAAATATCTTCTGTTAGATGTTGTTGAAAAAATCATAAAGGGAGGACGTGTTAAGTATGTACGAGACGATCGTGTCCTTCGATTGGGCTCGTGTGATTTATTTTTACAAGATGGAACGTAAGTTTGCATTTTGTATAAAAATATTTACCAAATTAACAAATTGTTTAAATTGTTTTACTAAGTTTACTATTTTAATAGGGGGCACATGATAAAGTTGAGGTTGTACGATACTCAACATACACGTATTGTGCGGATCGCCCGAGCCATAAAAAATAATTCAATATTTTATGCATCTCGGGTTAAACTTATTCATTTAAATTCAAGTATGTTATATATTATCTAATAATTTATGTTTTCATTTTATTTTAAATATTATATTAACTCTACTAAATTTATATTTTCTAATATTTTCAGTGAATATTTTGAGTTCTACGRCGTTAACCAAGTATGTGATCGATCCAGATATGCCGGAAGCCCACAACATAAAAGTTTTGCTGAGTTAAAAATTTGTCACCAAATTGGTTAGGGTTGAGTGTTTTTTGTGATTGTTTTGGAGATAAAAACACGTGTAACTTTTACGTTATTTTGTATTGGTTGAATGATGTTTTGAACATTGATTTGAATTCAGTGAATGTTTGAAGCCCACAACACAAAACTTATGTTGAGTTAAAAATATGTCATCAAGTTTGTTTAAGGCTTGGGTGTTTTTTGTGATTGTTGTGGAAATAAATCATGTGCAACTTTTATGTTATTTTATATTGGTGAATGTTTTTGAATGTTTTGTAAATAAGTGATGTGCGCCAATATTTATTTATTATATGTAGTTAAAAGGGCATAATGAGGATTGTCAACGAAGGAAGTGCAAATGTTGATAGTCCTCAAGTTAATTTTGATATAGCAAAAGGTATGTGGAATATATAATAAGAATACATTTTAATTTTTGATGTACTTACTCAATATATATTTATTTAAAAATAAAATTTAATACAATAGACTTTATTATGCAGAACAAAAAGAGATGAAGAAAAAAAAAGAAAAATTGCGTTTGGTGAAGGAAGTAGTCAATCAATGTCAAACATGGGAGATATCTCTCTAATTGAGACAACACAAGAGAATATCAATGAAATAACTCCTGCCAACACACTAACTTTTGCACAAAGGAGAAGAATTGTTAATCGAAACTATTATCAACGAAATGTCAATGGTAAATACCATCCGGTTATCCACACTTTAGAAACTTTAGTGTCATATAGACATGTTTTTTTCCATAGGCATTATAAATAAGCATGGAAGATTGCTACCTCTTTTTGACGAAGCTGTTAATCAAGAATCGATGAGTTAGTATTTTTTTTCGAACTCGATCTTTTTTAACTCGACTTTCGTAGTTCTTTATAATAATAATATTTATTTGTCGTATCCAAATATCTTTCTTAGGCGTTCAAAGGAGAAGAATTACTAACCGAAACTATTATCAACGAAAC